CAGCATTCCAAAATAGGCTAGTGGAACCATGACTGGAAAAATTAGATTCAAATTATTTATCACCTCCATGGTTTGTTCTACTGAAGTGGGAAACTAATTTGCATTTAATTAAAGCTTGCAAATTTGGAAAGTACTTTGAGAAAACCTTGCAAAATTGTACATAGGGATGGGGAAGTGAAGACTAAAATGTAGGTGTGTCCCTTCGAATGGTCGACAAATGACCTTGCTGAAATGAAGCAAATCTGTGTATGGTCAGTGCCTGAATGGCCAACTTCTTGGGAATCATGTACAATCAACCTTGAGTTCCATGAGGAAAGAAAAGTAGGATATAAGTGAATAATGAACACATGAAGCTGTGTTATACTGTTACACCATTGGTCTATTGATGTTGTCTACTCCACGGGTCCCCAACCTTTTTGAGAAAGCATCCTTAAAATTCTGACACAGGGTGGTGAGCACAACCACAAAATGGCTGTCAAAGGAGGCGGAACCAACCACAAAATGTCAGGGAATTAGGCTTTGCAAACTAACAGTAGCTTCTCAGTGTTTCAGGTAGAAGCTCTGCTTAAAATAGGGGTACCCCACATGGTGCCTGTGATTACCATGGCACCCAGCAACGTCATTCTTGGGGTGTGCCAAGTGCTTTTAGAAAGTGGGTAGGGCCAGGTGGGGCTTCTTCCCAGCCAGTCTTCTGATTGGCCATTGGAGATTGATTGGCTGTGCAAATTAAAATGTTTCAGTAGCAGCAACCACCAGAGTGTTGGTTTTATTCTCTCACTCCTCTTTCCCAGTGTATTTTTTTATTACTCCTCTTGTCCCCTGCCTTTAGACTTCCTTTGTGTGTGGCCCTAACTCTCAGGGCAGCCATTTTGTGGTTGGCTGCATCTCCCATGGTGGTGGTTTAGTGGTTGGGAAAGCCACCTTGTGTCAATTCCAAAGCTTTTCACAGTGTCAAGAAGGTTGGCGACCCCTAGCTTAAAAGGACACCTTTTAAAATGAGTGTGTTGTTTTAAAGTATTTTGTTGCTTATGCATAGCTTACCTTCAGTCACACAGTGATGAGCCTAGTTCTGTGGTGGCAGCTGCTGCCAAGGCAGTGTGTTGTTGTTTTTTAACCGGCACAGCCAATTTTATTTATTTATTTAAAACATCTATTAGCCACCTTTCTGTCTGACGAATTCAACAGTTATTTTAAAAAAGACCACAATTTAAAATCTCCAATTAGTGGTGCTAATAAATAAACCAAGGCCCCGGTCACATGGGCCGGATAACGTGGGGGGGAGGCGTGGCTGATTGCTCCGGTGCAATTAGAGCCACCAGAACGCGATCCGACGCGTCGGTGGCAAACCACAGGTCCTGTCCTCCCCACCTGCGCATTAACAAGGGGCCGGCACGATCACACCACAGGAGTCCGGAGGCAGCCCATGGCAAACCGTTTGCTACTACATATGAGGTACTGTTTTTTTTAAATTGCGCTTTTTCGGCGGTATGCCACGGGTTGGCCACAGGTGCGCTCCACTTGCCAGATGTTGCGGTGTGATCGCGCCCCCAATAATCTGTCCACCACCCGTGGCTCTCCCGCGGCAAATTCGCCATGTGACCAGGACCTAAATTAGTCAAATGCAGCCTTAAATAAAACTGTCTTCAGCTGTCTCCAAAAGACTGAAAGTGAGGAGGCTATGCACATCTCCCAGGGAGGTTGTTCCATGATCATGGGGCTGCTACAAAAAAGGCCCTCTCTCATATGCACATGAGATGTGCTTCTTTAATTGGCGGGACAGTCAGGAGGGCCTCAGTCTGTGATCTCAATTCCTGGGCAGGAACATATGGAAGAAGACAGTTCTTCAGATACTCCAGTCCCAAGCCACATAAAGCCTTAAAAGACAAAACCAATCCCTTGACTTGGGCTCAGGAGCACATAGGTAACCAGTGTAATTACTGTATTATTGTGGTCATGTGCTTCCAGTAGCTGGCCCTGACCACCAGTCTAGCCACAGCATTCTGTAGCTTCTGAACACTCTTCAAGGTTAGTCCCAAGTAGAGGGTTTTCCAATAGGTAAAGGTTTCCCTTGTTCAAAAGCCAGTTTAATCCGACTCTAGGGTTGCGGGGCTCATCTCCGTTTCCAAGCCAAAGAGGCAGTGCTATCCAAAGACGTTTCCGTGGTCATGTGGCGGGCATGACTAAACGCCAAGGCACACGGAATGCTGTTACCTTCCCACCAAAGTGGTACCTATTTATCTACTTGCAATTTCTTGCTTTCGAACTGCTAGGTTGGCAGGAGCTGGAACCAGAGATGGGAGTTCACTCTGTCATGCAGCACTCGGGTCTCGAACTGCTGAACTACCGACCTTCCAGACTGCAGTTCAGCATCTTAACCACTTGAGCCAACAGACCAATCTAAATATAACCAATGTTCCCTCTAAGCTGAGTTAGTGTGAGCTAGCCCACAGTTTTTTAGCCTTCGGCTCACACATTTTTGTCTTAGCTCAGGAAGGATAGCTAATTTATGTAACAGTTAAATCACTTGCTTACAACTTTAATGCCAGTAGCTCACAAAGTACAATTTTTGCTCACAAGACTCCACAGCTTAGAGGGAGCATTGGATATAACTATGGATGGTTATACTGTGCCTAGAGTAGACTGAGCCAGGAACGGGCACAGTTGATGTACCAGCTGAAGTTGGGCAAAAGCACTCCAAGCCACTGCAGCCACCTGGTTTTCTAAGGTGACTCCTGTGTCATCAAGCAGCACTCCCAAGCTGCGAACTGGCTTTTCAAGGGGAGTATAGCCCCAATCCAAGACAGGAAATCTGAAGTCCCTGGTCTGCTTTTCTACTAACCCAGAGTTCCTCTGTGTTGCCAGGATTAAATTTCAGCTTCTTCACCCTCATCCGGCTCTTTATTACTGACTATAATCACAGATTCAGAATAGCATCCTCAGAATTAGGTGGAGAAGCAGCCACCCACCCAATCAGATCTCCAGTGGATAATCATTAGCCCTGCAGGATATGTCTACCCTGCCATGCCCACTTTCTAAAACCACTTGGTGGGCTCCAGGAAAGGTGTCAGTGATCACCATGGAGAGAGGATCCCTTGACTATTGAACTGGCAGTGGCTCTCCTGAGTCTCAGGGAGAGGTCTTTCACATCACCCGCTACCTGTTCCTTTTTAACTGGAGATGCAAGGAACTGAACTGAGACCTTCTGTTTGCAAAGTAGATTGTCTACCACTGAGCCATGCCCCCTCCCTAATAATAAAACAGGTGAATACAATGCTGTTTTTGTGAAGAAATAGTTCTCCCTCCATCCTTTCCTCCACCTCGAAATGGAAAATTTCATGATATTTATTTAGTTGGAAAAATTATATGCCATCTTTCCAGATACTTGCTTTAGCTGGCTTGCAAAGCAAAATAATGCAAAACCCATTAAAAATTAATAGCAGCCATATTACCAGTCCAGGGCATAATGAAATTCCTTCTTGGGGCTCTTAGTTTTGGAATACCAAAAGTCTTTTTTTTTTTTTACTCAAAGGCCTACAAATGATGACCCACTACAGCTTTTCTGCCTGAAAGGGTATTTTTTCTCAAAAGGCAGGCCTAGGTTTAGTTTGTAGGTCTCCAGGAGATTGGCATTCTGAGGGCTATGACTTCCTGGGTTACAGTATGCTTGCTTTTATACCAGGGTCATTGGTGTTAATCTTGGCAGTGTGTACAGAGAGCAGGCCATTCCAGAGGAATGTTTGCTGAAGGTGTGGTTTGGGGAGGGTTGCTCCTAACTTTATCCTGATTTCTCTTCTGAAGTAACATTAAACACTACATTAAAAATGGGGATTTTTGTGGCATGTCCAAGAAAATTCTCCAAGGAATGCTAAACAGACATATTTTGCTTTCATGCTCCATGGATGATCACAATGTCTTCCATCCCATCCATTTTGAATGGTAACTGATATTGTAATGTATCCGATTGCCACGTGCGCGACCGTTGGGCCATGCGGTCGCGCACAAGTCCAAAGCTTCGTTCCGTGAGAACAATAGCAGAGCGGATCCTAGCCCGCACCAACCAGAGGGCTAGGTCCACGGCCGAGAGCCTATGAGACTCTCGGCCACTGTAAATAACCTATAGGGTCACTAGGGGGTGTGTTTTGGTGGTGGGTTCTGGGCATATATACCGGCCGGCGTGCCAGGGGTCCTTGTCTTGTTCTTCACTAAATAAAGTACTCTTGCTGAAATCACTCTTCGTTCCGAGTACTTTTCAGATATGTTGGAATTGTGAGAGAGGCTGCCCTGCGAGCATGTCTGAGCTGCTTAATTTATAATAATCTGAAGGCCCTCTGGTTCAACATCCTGCCCTAAGATCTTCCACACATTGAACTGGGAATATCAAATCTGGTTGAACAAGTTCTGGACTGAGCATTTGTCCTTTCCTTTCTTCAGGTACTTCAAAGCCTGAGGCAGTGGCCCAGTTGCCAGCTCTTGGCCCACGGCTCACAGCTGTGGTTCTTAGTGAAGTATGGTGGCAGAACCATCACCACACTGGGATGAGCTTTGTGGCTTATCACCTACATCAAGGGGGGGTCTGTTGGGCTGTTTTTATGTCAATTGTATTTTGTGTATGTACTTCATTTCATAAGCCTCTTTGAGTCACAGGAGGGGGAGTTAAAACAAATAATCAGACAAACATAAGCACCTTCCCTCAGTCGGTGCTGTGGCCTCGGCAGGAAAGAACATAGTGCTCCGTGCTTGAGGGGCCTGGTTTATGTCTGATTCAAGTAGATAATCTTGTAAAGCCTCAGTCAGGAGAACCAATTATTCAACTTTAAGGTGTGTTGTGATATTTCTTGCCAATGCATGTACCTTCCTCAGATGCAATATATTTAAAATTGCTTGGGTATTGATTTCATTTTTAGATTTCGTTTTTTCTAAAGAGTAATATGCTGCTATGGGATATTCTGTTTAAAGCATCGTGTTGCAACCGGTGTGTGAGCTGCACTTATTTTCATTAGATCCATACAGGTTTACAGCATGAAATAATTTGGCCGTGTCAGCCCAGCTGTGTCCCACTGGATGAAAAACTCCTACCTGAGCTATTAAAGGAAGCAGGATATGTTACCCATATGGTGGGCAAGTGGCATCTGGGAATGTACAGAAAAGAATGCCTTCCTACCCATAGAGGGTTTGATACTTACTTTGGTAAGCAGAGACTTACTTCATCCCTCCTTCCCATCATTTTAGAATTCTGTAACCTTCTGGGATTTTTCTGTGGCCAGATTGTTCACGTAGAAGACTTGGGAATGGTGGAAACATTATGGGGAGGACAGAGCTTTTTGTACTGCGTGTAACCACTTTAGGGACCCTAAGTTGGATGAGAAATAATTAAAAAGAAAATAGCTTGGCATGCCAGGCTAGGATTTAATTGTGCCCTATCTCCAGCACTGAATTTCTTAAATGCTGCCTGATTAAGCACCTGTGACAATGGGATGTTTGATGTTGCCATGGAGACGGTGTTTTGCTTAACTGATTTAATTATTTCTTTAATTGATTTAATTATTGATTTAATCTATTTCAGTAAATATTATTTACTGAATGTCAAGTACCATAAGTGAACGGGTTGGCTTGTTTGGATCACAGCCATGGCCAAACAGGAAGCTATGGTATGGGAGTGAATTTGTCTAACCAGGGAATAATGTTCCCCAGTCCATCACAGTATGTCGCCTGCATTGTCTTGGCTCTTTGCTCTAAGGACACCAACTAAAGTGCCTGTTATACAAAAGCTGTTGCTCCAGTGTTGTCAATGAAAATGCTGGAGGTCATCCATGTGCTGATTAAGCTTCATTAATATGTGGTAAACGGGTAGGAAAAAAGGTTTATCCCCCTCAAGAAGTATACTGTTTTGTTTGGAAATGATGATATTTTATATTGAAGAGACTGTCTCACTCGCTAGTTGGTGTTAGCAACAAATAATAAATTTCCACATAGCTGGCATGAAAAATAATCCTATCAATAGGATGATGTATTTTGACTATAAATAGCACAGCATTTTTAGCTTCAGCTGTTGTTGCCAACATTATTCAGTTTCCAAACAATAGGGATGTACCATTGGAAATGTAGTAGTGAAGATCCAATTGGAACAGTGCCTATGGATAAATACAATGAACGCTGTAAACTGGAACGTAATTCTTTTTTTTTTTCCAGAGCAGCTGGAAACCTGATCTGACAATTATTCTGGGGCCTGGCTGTCTGGCTTCCATTTTTTCAGGCCGGAGGAGGGGGCAGCAAAGGGGAGAACATGACTCAGCAGATGCATGTCTGGAATAATCCTGAGGGGCATTTCTGTACTCAACATTTCCACTTTCTGCCATCTCATCATTTCTGGGGAGGCTCATTTGCCTAACTGTTTTGTTTTTGGAATTCCCTTCCTAGGGACATTCTTCTGTCCCCGCTATCATTGTCTCCTGCCAGTGGGTGAAGATTTTTTTTTAAAATAAATTAAATTAAAAATGCACGTTTTAAGGCAGAACAGAGGTATGGATGGGGTTAGAGGCATGGCAAAATGCTGCATTTGCCATCAAACCCACCTGCATGAGAAGATAAATGCCCATACTTTGGTTGCACTTGTCAGCTGACACGCATGGCTTTAGAGGCTGAGGGAAACAGAATGGAAGCCCAAGCTTTGCCCCTGCCCCCAGCCATAAGCAGCTCACCTTCTCTCCAGGTTTATACTTTTAAAATTATAAACAGTTCAAATTTGGCACACACCCCGTACCAAACTGCTAGCTTCTTTGTCTGCTTTTGTTCTTGCCTCTGAGATGATAACTTAATAAATAATTTTGATTTCAGAATTTTTGATACCTTTGTGAATTAAAAAAGATATCGGGCAGCTTTTAGACATTACAAAGTAAGCATATATTAACACTTGATTACAGAGGGTCACATATTTTGCCAAGTTGCTTGCTTTGTGGTTGTATAAAAATATTCCTATTTTGCAATTTTTTTCTAGGTGCACAGAAAAGATATATTCCCATCTTTCACTAACTTTAAAAGGGAAATGTAAGTCTAGTGTCGTTCTACAGTATGATTGATCACTTGTACTCTGTGATTTAGGCTACCTCCTTGGAAGTGAAAACTACTATTCTCATGAGCGTTGTGTGGGCATTGTATCAAAAAATATAACACGATGTGCCCTTGATTTTCGAGATGGAGAAAAAGTTGCAGTTGGATTTGAAAACATGTACTCTGCTAATATATTTACCCAAAGAGCTGTAGATCTTATAGCCACTCATCAAACTGAGAAGGTAGGATAATCTTTTTTAAAATTAAAAGTTAGAATGTATACATTTTGATGCATTGCTGATCAAATGCAGGCATTTCTTCAGTTACATGTACTTAATTCCCCAGTAATTAATGGCCTTAAGTATATGTCATTGAGTGCCACACTGAAACTTTTGGTTCTCCAAATCCTATTACTGAACTGCAGTGAAGTAGACAAATAAAATTGGCAGGAAATTACAAATGCAGGCCAAAAAACACATTCTGGACTAAAATAATACCAAAGGAGCCTTCCTTACCTTATGAAAGGAGACAATAGATCTCAAAAAGGAAAGGTAGCAAAGATTAAAGGTTTAAAAAAAAAGTATGACAGTTGCTGTAATAGTACATAAACCAGATGTAGCCCAGAATTTAAAAAAATTCTGGCAGTTAGTGCTCTTCTGCCAGCCTGCCATCATTTATCCCATAGAAAACAGTGGAAAGACGTGTACCAAATGGCACCTAGTTCTTGGGTCTGTAAAACTGAACCCTTCTGTTTCTGCTTGCAATTTAGGCAGTCTTTAGATTAGGAGGAGGACTAGGGTCTGTGAAAATTTGATACTGTTATCTTTTTTAAAAAGCTGCACAAATTGATTGAAATTAAATTATAGAAAACCCCCACACACACAAACACACACACTGAATTTGAATTCCTAACCAGTACTGTCCTACCTATAAATCAGGAATACTTGGTAAAAGCCCCCTCCCCCCAAATCCCAGAGCCAAAATTATAATTTTTTCTTGGTAGATATCCCTATTCTGCAGATATTAGTGCAACTCATTGTTCAGCCATGTAACTCACTAGGGAACAGCTACAATTTCTCAGTTTAACCTACATCACAGAGTTCTGGGTAAAGTAAGAAGGATCTATGTATGGTGCCATCATCTCCTTGGAGAAAAATTATAACATTCTGCCACCCCAGTATAACATGTCTTGTATTCTCTCCCTTCTTTACAGTCTGGCCATGAGCCTCTTCCAGTTGGGTCACCATCATTGTTCCCTCTAAGCTGAGTTAGTGTGAGCTAGCTCACAGTTTTTTCACCCCCGGCTCACACATTTTGTCTTAGCTCAGGAAGGATGGACTCCAGAGCAAACTAATTTATGCAGTAGCCAAATCGCTCGCTCACAACTCTAATGCCAGTCGCTCACAAAGTAGAATTTTTGCTCACAAGACTCCAAAGCTTAGAGGGAACACTGGTCACCATCCCCACTGTTTCCAGAGTTTTCCAATTGTCTAGCTTTGACTAGATTGTATGTCATATGAAATACAAATGGGAAGATGGTCTGTCAGGGTATATCTGATCCATGAGTCACATTTGCTCTTTTGATTATTTCATTTAATGCTGTGATTATGATTTTCAGTCATGTATAATTTCTTTTGTAGCCTGTCTTCCTCTATCTTGCTTTGCAATCTGTCCACGAACCTCTTCAAGTCCCTGAGAAATATACAGAACCTTACTCCTTCATCCACAATGAAAATAGACGCAAGTATGCAGGAATGGTATCTATTATGGATGAAGCTGTAGGAAATGTTACTACAGCCCTGAAGAGCTATGGGCTTTGGGACAACACTGTTTTCATCTTCTCTACAGGTAAGGCTGAATAAATAGATACAGGTACATAGTATCAGTTTTCTCTAATACACTAAGCAAAGAATATGATATGCCAAATCAGTCAACAAACTCTCTTATACAAATGCAAAACCATGAGAGAAAAAATTGACTCAAATATAACTCAGTCAGTATAATTTTGCCTTTTGTTTCTAAATTAACTTTGCATTGAAAAATCATTTTAAAGAAACCTGTTTTTGTTCCATGTTTGGTGTAGTGGTTAAGTGCATGGACTCTAATCTGGGATAACCGGGTTTGATTCCCCACTCCTCCACTTGCACCTGCTGATGTGACCTTGGGTCAGTCACAAGCTCTGCCACAGCTGTTCCTGAAAGAGCAGTTTGTGTCAGAGTTCTCTCAGCCCTACCCACCTCACAGGGGGTCTGTTGTGGGGAGGGGAAGGGAAAGGAGTTTGTAAGCCGCTCTGAGACTCCAAGTGAAGGGTGGGGTATAAATCCAATCTCTTCTCTTCTTTGCTCTCTTCTACTCTGCCCCACATTCTTTATTGACTCCCTTCTGGTTGAATGTGAAGAATTTATAATATTAACAGTGATATTAAGTTTTTACATATTTCCCCTGCAGTTATGAATGCATAACTGTGCATTGATTCGATCAGTGAGATCACATTAGGATAGCTTTTTGATATGTGATTAAATCAATGGACATATGTGCTTGTGTGCCTGTACTGCACAGAAAAAGTGAGAGAAAACGGCTTGTGCAGTCACCAACAGAAAAATGATGGATTACTAATGCATTGGTGCCATTCCAAAAATAAGATCTAGTATTTGGAGCTGTAAAATCCAGGTAGAATTTGACAAGCATCCCTTACACAAAATAATGGCAAAGTTTTGGGGATTTTTGCAGTACCTTTTACATTTGAAGGTATTCTGGAGTTAAGGCTGTGTCAGTGAGATTCTAAAACTAGGTGTGTAACTTCCCCAGTATGATGCTTGGAGAGACCCAATTTGTTTTGCTTTATTGCATCCCTGATGTGATAGGGCAATTTGCAGCATTTTGAAGCAGTTACATTGATGAATACTACTGTAATTAATCCTACTTGTAGCTGAAATTGCTGTTCAGACTGGCAGTTTTTGACGGCTGCTTCACACATGACATTCGCCTTGTACTGGTGTATGGAAAAATGCACACTCCCATGTATAATCACAGCACACAGATTGCAAAAGACATTTCTGCTTTATTGTATGTATATGGATAGATAACCTGATGTCAAGCATGAAGCTGCTTTATACTGAGTCAGACCTTTCAACTGCCAGGTTCATCATTGCCTGCTATAACTGGCAGTAACTGTCTAGTTTCGCCAGTAGAGGACTTTCACATCACCTGCTATCAGATCTTTTTAACTGGAGATGATAGGCATTAAATGCAGGACCTTCTGCATGCAACACAGATACTCTGCTGTAGTATAACAAGTACCAAAATACTCTCTGTCCACGTAATACGGTCTGGCCTAAATGTATTCTTAAACGGTGCCAGTTGGCAAACAAACGTATTGCACAATTTAAAGGGCTCTTGTTAAATAGGAAACAAGACTCCAGGTACCCTTTAAGGTGGTACTAGCACCAGCACCACCTTATTTCTTATATATTTTACATGTCATTTTAATGTTTTTAAATGTCATTGTTAATATTTTTAAAATGCATTTAAAATGTATTTTTTTAAATCAAAGCTCTTAATTTAATGCTTATTCAACTTGTGACCTATCATTATCACTAGGATCAGCCTTGCTAGCACAGTCCAATCAGGAAATTGTTTCAAACCATCACAGAGTGTTATGTCTTTCTATCCTGGTATACCTCCGTACGTTTGGTTTAAAATCTGACCTGGAAACACTAATAGGGTTTGCTGCTCGATAGGGGTGATGTACCATTACCAGCTGCTTCCTAAGACAGAAATTCAACAGATGCAGCTATTGCAGGCACAAAGTTACTGTGGAATAAACTGTGCCTGTTGTGTCTATTAATTGCCACAAGAGGGTACCACAAGACATGAAGTGGGATTTCACTGTTGAGAAAGGTGTGTACCTTTCTAGAACTGCATTTCCCCCCAAGGAATCGTTCTTACTCCTCTAGCTTCAAGTTATAACTTTTCACTCTTCACTTTCTTTCTTTTTCAAATTCGGTTACAATGATCCTTCCAAACTCAACAAAACAAAATTTCTCCCCATCAGAATTTGGTTCCACTTGCATCCTGTTCCTATTTGCCATCCTGCAAATGGTTTGTGTTTTCATCTGGGGGTGTACTTGATCCTGCTGATATATATAGGATTGTGCTTAAAGTTATCTTCTGCCCATACCAGATATAACATTTCCCACACTTGTGATACATACATTTTCTTAGTCATTCTTACAAAATCCCTTGAGGTAGGTCAATATAATCCCCTATTGCAAAAGATTAAGGGAAACAACATGGTGAACAGTGACTCACCCTAAAGGCTGAGATGAGATATAAAACCAGCTCTGCTGGATTCTTAAACCACCTTTTTTCTTATGTTCTATAGTGGTATTCAGAGACTCGCTGAGGGCACCCCTTAAGTAATTACACCATCTGTACATTGTGTTCTCGGACTGTAAAGCAGCAGGATGCAAAGGTGGGAAGAATGGCTCCAGTTGAGGAATGCCCTCCCATTACAGACGTCCCAAAGTTCATAACTTTGAAAATATCAGGAGATCTTCCTGTCTGAGCTATTTGTAGAGCTCAGTGAAGTGATGACATTAAAACCCTAGATAGACCCTTCCCTGCACAAGATGGCTGTAGTTTGTACCCAATTAAAAGCCCCAGCAAATCAAATGGCCTTGCAGCATCTGCTAAAAGTTTCTAAAGACCAGCATCTCCCTTGCATCCTCAAAGAAGCTGGTCTACAAAGTGGGAGCTGCCACGGAAAAGACAATGGCTCTGGCAGCCTAAAGTCCCTAGTTGACGCACTGGCAGGCCCGTACCTAACAACTTTTTTCTCAGGGGGCCCATGTTTTTCTCAGGGGGCCGACCACCAATGTTCCCTCTAAGCTGTGGAGTTTTGTGAGCAAAACTTCTACTTTGTGAGCTACTGCCATTAAAGTTGTGAGAGAGCAATAAATTAGAGAGAGAGCTGCCACATAAATTAGTTTGCCAAGGATTGGGAAGGGGGCCCATTAAAATCACCAGGGGGCCGGGCCCCATGGGCCCCTGGTTAGCTACAGGCCTGCGCACTGGGGTGTATTGGAGGAAATGGTCCTTTAGGTTGGTCCTAGGGTCATGAAAGGTATAAAGGTCATAACCAGCACCTTGAATTGGACTTGGAAACAAACTGGCACCTGACGTAGCTGTTCGAAAAGAGGCAAGTTGAATTCCCATTGGCAGCATCTGATATTAATTGGGCTGCCGCTTTCTGAACCACCTGCATCTTCCAGGTTGTTATCATGGGAACCCATTGTGGAGCACATTACAATAATCTGTGAGTTTAGAAAAGCGTGGATCAGCTTAGCCAAATGGACTGAGTCTAAGGTCCAAAGTAGATGATAAATGTGAGACACATCGGGTCAGGGGCCCTTGACCCTACTTGCAATCACATGTGAGTTTGGGAAACTAACATTCCTAAGCACCCGTTGGCTCAGGAATCCAGCCTGGGTAGATTAGAAGTTTTGACCTTCCCTTCTGAGCTGTTTTCCCAGGCCAAAACTGCCACACGGGGCCTGGTTGCCCCGCTGTGGGGCTCCGTGTGCTTCAGTCAGTCCATGTGGAGGCCCACGTCAGGGCCCCACTGTGGCTATTTCAGCTGCGGAAAATGGAGGTCTGAAGCCCCTCATTTCTCTGTGCCACTCTCCTCAGCCAATTTGGGTCCTGGAGCACTTGTGAACAGTAGTCCTTCAGAATCACATATGAGCTTCTGACTCAACACGTGTTACATTTATCATCTAGTTTCTAAGAAAGCAGAGAGCTGGTAAGCAAAATGTATGTAATAGAAGACATTCATGGACACTGCAGCAATCTGTTTTTCAAAAAGCACTCCAAGCTCTTAAACTGCTCTGCAAAAAGTGAGTTCCACTCCAACCAAGACAAATTGTCCTCTAAAGCATCAGTCTTCCCAACAAGCATCACCATTGTCTTGTCTGGATTCAGCTTCAGCTTGTTCTGCCTTATCCACTTGACCACTGACTCAATGCACCAGCAATGCACACGCATCTGGAGACTTGGGTAATGAAATATGGACCTGGGTGTCATCTGGCTGGATAGCAGTTTTGCCATTAGAGAGAACAAGTGGAGACCCACAAGAAACTTGCGGGATGGTTATCTCATTCGTCACATCTTTGCTTACTCTCCTCCCCCCCTACCTCTCTCACAGTATTTCTCCCCTCTGCCCCCCCCCATTTCTTACTCTCTATTTCTCCTCCATGCACGTGACTTCCTCTCTCTTTCTGACCTGTCATCTTTCTCTGTTTTTCTGCCTCCCCACTTCATCACTCTTTCTTTCTGCCCCCACCCCATCAGTCTTTCTTTCTGCCCCCATCACTCTCCCAGCCTCCTGCCTGCTTCCTCCCCCACTCCGCAGAGCAGCAGCAGCAGTGGTGGCAGTGCTCCTAGCCACCCACCTGCTTCCTCTCCCCCCCACAGCAGCAGTGGCAGCAGTCTGGGAATCACAACAGATCTCCCAGCTACAGAGATCAATTCACCTTAAGGCTGCCAGCTCCAGGTTGAGAAATTCCTGGAGATTTGGGGGTGGAGCCTTGGGACAGTGAGGCTTGGGGTGGCAAGCAGCCTCAGCAGGGTATGATGCCATAGACTCAACCCTCCAAAACAGCCATTTTATCCCAGGAAACTGATCTCTGTCGCCTATACAACAGTTGTAATTCTGTGTGATCGCGAGTCCTCACCTGGAGGCTGGCAATGGTGGTTCTTGTGGAGGAAATGGCTGGAGGATGGAGTCTATGACATTACACCAGTCCAAAGTTCCTCCCCTCCTCAAATCCCACCCTCTCCTGGCTCCA